TTATATATATGTGTGTGTGTGTGTGTGTGTGGTTAAGATATACATATATGTATATATAGATGTGGTTAAAATATATATACATATATATATATGTATATGCATGTATACACACATATATATGTATGCATGGCAAAACCCATCAAATACACCCCTATAGTCTTCCTGGCTCTGTTATTTAGCAGCATGAAAAGAAAAATAAAATAAACCAGTTCAAAACCCAAAGGTGAATTCTGTGCGGCGGGTGCCTTGGGGAATGTTCCTTCCGGAGTCCATCGTCCGTACTGAAAGTGCTGTGCTCTACCGATCCTTCATTTTTAGGGTTCATTTGGATTAGTGTTTTGTTTTGTTTTCTGTCCAGGCGAGAAATCAGGCTCCAGAAACAGGGCTGTTCCCCCTTCTTTTCCGCTGCTCACCGTCTCGGTTTTTCACATCTGTCAGAGAGGAGAGGGAAGGAAAAAAAGAGAGGAGGGTTTAGTGTTTGTGATAGGGGTGCAGGTAGGACAGGAAAGGGAAGGAAGGGAGGTGGCTAATGTGTTTAAGAGCACATGGTGTTAAGACATGGCATGACGTCACTGGTGGGGTGAAGTGCTGTGCAGATGGGGCAAAACAGCTGAGAACCTCAACCCATGAACGGGTCAATGAGTTCTATTCCCCCAGGCTCACCTAGACAGGGCAGGACTGGGGTACTGGTATAGGGGGAAATTTAGGAACAGAGTCAGAGGCTTCCTCACAGATGAGCCGTGTGTCTTGTTTGCACCCTCTCACACCATGCACACATAGATACACACAAACACACAGAAAAACAAGGCTAAGCAATGCATGCATAAAGACGCACTCCCTCAGCTCCCCACCTAGCCTCTTCTTTAGGTTGGAAGCAGTGCAGACAACAAGGCCTCATGCAGGGAAGAAGGTAAAAAGAAAGTGCCTCTCATTCGACTAGCTGCCATGAGCAGGAGTTAGCACCAGAGAACAGTATCAACAGCCTGAAGAAGCAGCAGGAGAAACAAGAATTTACCCTCCACAGTAGGGCCCAATGCTAATTCTACAAGAAAGAGCATGAGGAACTTAACCTTAACTAGCTTTTTATCTGGAAACAGATAAGCTACCCACTCCTATGACTCCTTCCTATCTTTCTGGCCAACACACCAGCTCTGGAAACCTCTCTTAATGCCAATTATCTCACCACAGAGAGTGACCAATAAGAGAAACTAGTAAACAACTTCTGCCATCATGACTTCTTTGGGATATTGGTTTTTCTTTGTATTTGTTACTACTTCTCACCTTTCAAACTCCGCAGGGTAATTTCCAGCTAATGTGGGGCTTGGGGAAAGGAGCAGAGGGAAAAGGTCAAAATTAGGTCTGGTCTCACACTTCAGGAGTTGCTGGGAGAAGGTTAACTCCAGAAGCTGCTCTATTCTGGCTTCTACATCGATTACTTTCCCACTGAAATAACAGCGCCCCAGAAAATTCCTCTGTATACAGAGCCCTTTCCACCACACCACCAGTGCCACTGCCTCTCTGGTTTGGGCACAAAGCATTTTCACACCAGAAGAAACACTTGCTACTTGTAGCAGTCTCATTCACCTGGCCAGTTCCAGTCACAGAATCGGAGGCAAATGGATGCCTCCTCTTTCAGGATCTTGCCACAGAGGACCCTGGATCTCTCTTCCTTATTCTCCCCCATCCAGCCACTGTAACACTCTCTTGACAGGAGGAATCTCCTAGATCTCTGAGAGAGGAATCTGAGTTCAGGGTCACAGCTAAGGGCTCCTTAGCAACCCCATTTCTATGTCTCTCTCTGGTTAGATAGGATGATCCCACACCAGAGATGCGCACACAGCTGGTGTGAGTCAAGAGATCCCAGAGTTCGCCAAAGAACTCAGCTGAGCACCAGGAATTCGTTTCTGCACATGTCTATGCCACAGATGGTGTGTGACAGGTAGCACACATGCACAGCATGGATCTCTGAACAAACACTAACCACACAGTGTCTTTGTGTCCCACCTCTGCCTGCCTTCACCCAGAGACAGACTTAATCCTGACATACTTCACTTAACCCTGAGTGCAACCCCTCAAACCACAACTCTGGCCAAGCCATGGAGAAGGAACTCTGAGCACAGTGCAAGGGGACAGGGTACTCTCCCTGACTTTTAGAAGAACAAAGAGACAAAGGAGATCGTGGGGAGAGCCTTGATGGAGGCTCCTGGCCTGGCTTTCCTCCCTCTGCATACAGCAGTGTCCACAAGCCACACAAAATGGGCTTGGAAGACAGGGGTGGTCAAATCCTAGTCAGCTAAGGATTTGTCTTTGTCCAACAGGATGCTCAGAGTTGCATGCAGATATTGTACAGAGGGCTACAGACCCTCCTCATGGCTACCTCAGCAAGAACTCTGTTATCTTGTTCTACAGGAAAGGATACCTTAGATACAAATGCCCTGTCTCCAGGAGCCTTCCCATCCAAGTCCTGACAGCACATCTGAAACGCACAGCTGCCCTCTGACACAGGGAAACTGTCCTCATCTCAGTTAGCCCCTCTGCCCTCTGGCTCACGTAGGACAGCAAAAAGAAGTAATCACACAGCACTGGTGCC